TTCAACATAATATGAGTGAGCAAAAGATCATGGATAACAAGTTGCTGTTTAACAGTATTCGCATTAGGATTGCACACTTTAAATCCTAAAGTGGTTCATGGCTAGAAGGAATTAAACCAGACCTCAAATTATCAACATTTGGCAATGACATTTTATTTCCAGAAGATCCAAAATAACAGAATGCATGATCAATAAATGCCATTTTGTCATGATTCATGCATCAAGCATATTCTGCCCATTCCTACTCATTTTAGACTAATTATGTTCTTTAGCTAGAACAATTCTAAATTGTTGATAGCAATAGCAAAGGAAAGAACATAGGCAATAAGAGTTATTCGATCTTGCATACCAGAGCCGTAGGAAAGAAGCCAATCTTCATAGGTTTAGCTCATGCGAGAGACAGATTATATGAAATCTGAAGAAAAAAAAAGAGAAGGAAAGGGAGCAGGCATAACGGAAGTGTCTGGCTGAAATAAAAAAAAGAAACAAAACGCATGGAATGCAGAACTAAACTCACTGTAATAAAGAGAAAAAAGATGAATAGACAACAATAATTTGTGAGTAGTCGCACCTGCCCGCCCCCCATGATCGCATAGGTGGCTTTTACTGTTTTTTAATTGGGTTTGATGCACACCCCTTGAGAAATTCGTACAGAGAAACTCCAATGAACGAGCACTGCAACCCAGCAAGGAGGAATAGATCCAAATCAGTTCCACAGATACGAAGACATGGAGGAATGTGCGTCAAATAGAATTAGGGAGAACGGTAGATTGTAGTGACACAGCGATAACAGAAATCATTTGCCACCATTACAGACCATAATGGTTTATCAGATTAATTATGCGCTAGGTTTCCGCTTTCATGGGGTGAGGTTTCAGTTATGGAATTTGAAAGGATACGATCAGCCGACCATGATGCCAGCAGCCACCGATGCGTGCGGCCGCCGCAGCCGCCAAGAAGATGTGTATGTCACTCTTGCGCCGACGAGGATTCTGGCGCAGTGGTCGCCCCCACCTCCTCCTGGCACTAACGAGACGCCGCCGCGTCATCTTGCGTCATCAAGACGTAGCTGCTTCATGCTGCCGCGTCACTCTTGAGCCATTCACATGCCTCCTCCTCCAACTGATTGCCCGCCTTCACCTCAGCCAAAGCTCTCTCGCTCGTTGTCGCCGCATCCATGATTCATGGACAATCACCAATAAGAACAGCCGTGGTTAGCACTAAGAACTTAAAGGACATAGGGAGGGGGAATCAAAATGTAGGGCTGCACTTACGATGGACTGTTACCGGAGGAATACCATCGACATTGACCGGCGCCACCGCCGGTTTCAGGGCGATGGGGAAGAACCACTTCGGATCTAGAAAAAGGAGTTTGGGTGGGGGGGTCGAATCGATACAATACATCAGATGAGGTTAGAGAAATCGGCAATAGATCCGACTGGGCATGGCGACTCTGGCCTGGAGCTTGGTTCCAAATCCAGATCGGCGGCTATTGATGCCAGAAGGTCCATGCCATGAGCCGTGCCGGGATCTGATTTACCTATCATTGGTGATTCACGGCCGTGGAGTAGTTCGGCGAGTCCTGAAACCATATCATCTCCACGAGGCTCGATGGTCTCCATTGCCATCATCGGTGGGGTGCGTGGGCAGAGTGCGTGATGAGAGGAAGGTGGAGGGGGTGGGGAATAGCGATGTGGAGGGCGAAAGGCTTCAAGGCGACACGTCTCTTTCTTTTCTTTACAGCGGGCCGACATGTCAACTCAACGTCCATCTCGTGTCGCTAGGTGGAATCAGCCTAAGATGTACAGTGCCATACTAGGCCCAGATTCTTTTCTACTCTGTCCAGCCTCCCACGCTTAGCAAGCTGTGGCCTGTTAATCAAATTGCTGATACCGTACGTGGTACAGATCTCTAGGTGCTGCACCCTGAACATACGGTGGGGATAAGAGGGTGCCTGGACACCCGGGTTCATGAATTTTAGCCTTACCACAATGTGCAGATATAATATCCATTTTCATTTCAGTTAGTTGCATCTTGAAATAGGCAAACTATAATGCCCTTGCATTTTTGGTAATTTTGTCAGACGATGGACGGCGCTTCTGTTAAACTAGCTGCTTTACATGCCATTATTTAATTAATTTGTCTCCAAATAAAATTGAATCTAGAACCGGCATTTCATGAATAGTATAATTGAATAATATTGAAATTTCGGGAATCACTTTCTGAACGACAGCCCCATTTAACTCTGGAACAGTTTTTCTTTTTTGGGGTTTAAGATATATATATATTCAGTCTGTTGTCCACACCTAAGTAATTTTTGCAGCAACCCAACCCTGTGAAGCACCTAGATTGTTTGTTCCGGAAGCAAGCCACATATGCCTCCAGGTGATGTATTTGTGTTTAAGATTTATGTATCTTCTCAAGTGTCAGAATGCAACTCCTCCAAGCTCAACGCCGCTTCAAGAAGAAGGCGGACCGCCACCGCACGGAGCTTCGAGGTGGGCGACCACATGCTGCTCAAGCTCCAACCATATGCTCAATCCTCCGTCGTCAACCGCCCGTGCGCCAAGCTCGCGTTCAAGTTCTATGGACCGTTCAAGATCGAGGACAAGATCGGCTCGCACGCCTACAAGATGGTGCTGCCGCCGGACAGCCGCATCCATAGCGTCTTCCACGTCTCCCAACTACAGTCCTGTCTTCGCCGAGCTGCCGCAGCCACCAGACTTGTCCACTGTCGAGACGGCGCCAGAAGAAATCTTGTACATGCACATGATCAAGCACGGCGACACGACACTGGTCCAGCTTCAAGTTCGTTTGTCATCGTCATCTCGAACGGCCACCACCTGGGAGGACTACGACACACTCCGTCAGTGTTTTCCGACTGCGGCAATCTGGCAAGGGGCGACCGGAGCGCCAGGTGACGCTCGTTCTGAAGAGGAGGGCAATGTCACGCTTACACCATCTGGTGCCACATACGGTGGACTCGATGGATCAATAGGAGCATGGGGGACAAGTCATCAGAGGGCCAAGTCAGCAGTGGGCCACTGCCCAGGGTCAGCGTGGGTTATAAGCAGCCCCTGCGTGGGCGACGAGGGCATCTTGTGTGGGTATGCTTCTGAATCTCTCCTTGTACCGAACCTCTTTCCTTCTCTGCGAGAAAACCTCACCACCTAACCGCTTGAACTAAGCGGGTAGCTATCTCAAAAACAATTAACAAATCAAAAAAAAAAACTCACCTCCTACCTTTCTCTGCAATCTCATCCCCCTTTACCCTAGCGCGATCTGATCTAGCCATCGGGTGGTCACACGTAAATCCAGAGTTCCAATTTAATACGACGCGATTGCGGCAAGTGCAATCCGACCCAATATAGATATCGGCAGTATGGTAGTACTATAAATAGAAGAGCCTTCAGCCTTCAGCAAATCTCAGATCGATCAACAGAGAAGGTCACTAGGCGGCCGGCTTGGTTCCTGGTCGAGCCTGTCAGCCCGTCGCCATGGCGTCCTTGTCCCCTAAGCGGCGGCGCCGTGACCTCGATTCAGCCGCCACGGAGGCCAGAACTCCCACCATTGCCGTCTCGCCATCAACGGACGTTATCTTCGAGATCCTGTCCTGGCTGCCGCCCAGGTCCCTAGGCCGGTGCCGGTGCGTGTCCAGGAACTGGCGCGACATCATCTCCAACCCAGCCTTCGTGGCGGCGCACATGTCCCGTGCCGAGCCGCTTCTCGTCGCCAAAACCAGCGACTCCCACCATTGGTCCCTGCAACTGATGGACACGGAGGGCACACCTGTGAGAGTGTCGAGCTTAGCTGGGGCGTGGACCTTCCAAGCCAGCCTCGACGACCTTGCCTACATCACCTTCCGCAACAGGGACTCGGTGACCCCCGCCGTCGTGAACCTAGCCACCGGTGTGACGCTCACGAATTTGCCGAAGCAGACGGTTCTAGAGTATTACACGTTGACATACATGGGCTTCGGACGCACCGCCCAGTCCGGCGTGTACAAGCTCCTTCGCCTCCGTATGACCAACCGAACACAAACTTGCGACATCCTCACAGTAGGAGACAACGTCGAATGGCGACGGACACGACCGCCCCCAATGATAGCCCGCCAAAGCTATGCTAGTCCCCCTGTCGCCCTTGATGGTGCCTTGCACGTCTTGTCCCGTGATGAGAACTGCGTGCTGTGCTTCGACCTTGAGAGCGAGAAGTGGCAGGCGATCCATGGACCGCAAGGAGGAGTTATCAGAGTCAAGGAGCCTATAAGCATAGCCCAGCTCAATGGCACCTTGTGCATAGCTCAAATGGAACCGTATTTGATCAATATATGGCTCCTGAGTGATTCTAAAAGCAACGTTTGGGTCAAAGCGTATACGATACCGACGCGTCGGAAAGTCGTCAAACATGTGCTGCCTTTGAGAGTGTTACGTCTCGGTGGGGGGCTGCTCTTCTACTTCTATGGCAACAATGCAAAGCCAAAGTTAAAAGTATACAATCCTAGTTTGAGAAGATGCACGGCCGTCAAGACACCGGCCAACCTCATCGGCACAATCGGCCTTTGCAGTGCGGACATATATTCTAATGTAGATCTTGTGACCAGCCCTAACTGAAACCATGTTAATGATTTTTGTAGTTTTTCTTTGAGGGACCAAACAAATAACAACATTTTTTAGATAAACAAGTAAAGATATTTCATGGGAAGTAGCATGTAATTTATGACTCTAAATACAAGTTTTCTGCTATCTATCATATATATATATATATATATATATATATATATATATATATATATATATTTTGCGGGGAGTTATCTATTACTCCCTCCGTTCTCAAATATTTGTCTTTTTATAGATTTCAATAAATGGCTACACACGAAGCAAAATAAGTGAATCTACATTCTAAAATATGTCTACATAGATCCGTATGTTGTAGTTCATTTGAAATGTCTAAAAAGACAAATATTTGAAAACGGGCGAAGTATATTAATAAAACTAATAAAACAAAAGACAAACAAGCCTTCACGTTCGTCTGCATAGGTTAGAAATATATTATCCATCGATTGACTGTATTACAATGGTTGAGATTAAAATATCAGAAGGTGATCAAAAGGTTATGCAGAAAATATTATGTGCAATTTTCTTAACATCCGCCACATACAAGATACAACATAAACAGCACGGAACTGAAAAAACAAGATGCGTTTCTATGCCGATGGTTTGGCTGGCTTTGGACACAACATTTTTTCAACATAAAGGGCGGATTTTATTAGCACAAACTGGAGCATGAAGAGGATATAAACATAATGAGCACTCAACTGGCCTTTATATAGTTAGGATGCACACAACCAAATACCAAAGCATGCACACAAAAATACAACAATAAATAGCAAAGTCAAATAAGACCAAAGTTATGTGTAGGCGAGGAAAATAAACCCGGAGTGATCGGATCCACTATCGGCAAACTACAACAATAATCATATCCACACCAACCATCTCATAACATCGCACAGACGATGAGTTCTTCAACAACAACACCTTCAAGGGAGCGATGCTCAAGTGTCGTTGTCACTGGATTCAACCACCCAAGACCAGAATCCAGTTTTTCACCCTGAAGAACCACTCCGAGGATATCCGAGCAATGTCTTCAACAAGGTAACAACATAAAAACATTACCATTGCCAGGTATAACCAACTCGGGTCAGACCTAGACTTTCACCACGGAGCTCGACACAGGGTGCTAGTTGCACCTTATCTGTTGTTGTAACTACTCTTCACGATTCCAGCAGCTACATGTGATGTGCGTCCGTTGTCGCTGCACAACCATCCCACTACGTCAGGTCATCGTCCATATTTGCATCTCAACGCATAAGTCAACCATCGAATCTTGAGAGGAACCCTCACGAAGACCTTTCGGTGACCATTGCAGTCCACGGTGAGGCCCTCGCCACAAGACGGAGTGGTCACCACAAGGACCAACACTTACGACGGAGCACACCGCCGCTGACTACTACCTCACCGGTAGTATTTCTCTTATTTGTGTGCTGTAGAACATAACACACAGTAGTATTCACTAGTAGAAAACATGGCTTTGGTCCTGGCCAGATCAGAGCATTAGTCCCGGTTGTGTTACGAACCGGGACTAAGGGGTCCATCAGTCCCGGTTCGAGCAGCCAGGGTGTCGGCCGGGCCTCGGCAGACACTAGTCCCGGTTCGTCTGACCCCTTTAGTCCCGGTTCCAGACACGAACCGGGACTAAAGGGCCTCGCTCCTGCCGCAGCCGCTTTAGTCCCGATTGGTGGCTGGAACCGAGACTAAATGTCAGTCTTCTGCCCCATTTCTAGCCACCAACCGGGACTAAAGAGATGCCTATATATATGCTCGCCCCTGCCCGCTCACTCCTCTGTTTTTTGGCTGGCCTGCGTGTGGAAGGTGTGTGTTGCTCTGCTCTCACCTCCTATCCACATGAGGTGTTCGATGAAATGCCCGAGCCACACTTAAGCTTTCTCATCTCCAACCTCGATCTCCAAGCTCAATTTTCCCTAAGATTATCTAGGTTTGGCGGAGCACCAACTACACAAGTGTTCTAAAAGGTTAGCAACTTCATCCTTTCATCTCCCATTGCTAGTTTAACTCATTTCAAATGCTCTAGAAGTAGAGTGATTTGTGGGTTTTAGTGGAGGATTGTATGTGGGAGTTCATTTGATTTAGAAGCACAATTTGAGCTCAAATTAACTTCTTAGACTCTGCACATGTGTAGGGTGCCATCCCGTCCCCGTCCCCGTCCTCGCTGCCGTTGATCGCCTGTGCCGATCTCGTCGCCGGCACCACCATGGTGAGCCTCTTGTTCTTATCTTCTTTTTAAAAGAAAAAATTCTTACTTGTACGATTTAAATAGCCACTTGTATTATTTTCTTACTGTTATTAATGTTTGTTATTATATAGTGCCATGGTTTTGGCATCTGCCCCTATCGGCTCTCGCCCGGTCTATGATTCGGGTGCGGTATATTATCTTTTATAACCATTTGCTTCTTTTAGTGTTTATGAAAATTATGCCGACCAACGTGACATAGATGTTTTTATCTACAAGGTATGTGAACCGGAAATTCCAACCGACCCTCTTGTCGAGAAGTTAAATTTAGTTGAAAAAGAAAACAAGTATTGGAAAGAAAAATTGAAAAGAATTGAAGAGGAGAAGATGAAATTGGAGTTGCTCATTTTAGTTCAACACACACAAAATCATCTTCATTGTGAAAACAATGGTTTCTGAATTTTTCAACAACAACAATCTCAATCTACTGTACCACTGTGTACATCAAGTTAATGAAGCTGAACTTATATAAAATTTCTGGAAAAAAATTCAACTGCACCACTGGAAACATCCAAGTTTATGAAACTGAACTTTCTGAATTTTCATTATTTTTGTAGTACTCTACAATTTTCTGAACTTTTTTCATGAACAGTGTGCTCAACAGTGGCTGATCCTGTTTCAGAACTTCAAGTTCACAATCACAACTACTGCCTGAACATGGAAATTACTAGTTTGGACGCGCCATTGCAACAAGGGAATACAAGCATGTATGCTAGGTTTTTTTAGGAACTTACCCAATTTGCAGAGGAATTGACAGCGGAAGGCGGATTTTCTGGGAAGAACACCGGTGGATTTCGGTAGTTACTCGCAACAGGTACTACGTAGCTCGCCGGAGTTGGATCCTCCACCTGGATCCGTTCCATGGGAGGTTGGAGCTGAGATGAAGGCAAGCATATCTCTGTAGATATGCTGCGCTATCGGGGGTAGATGCAGGGGTGGGGGAGACGTGTTGCGATGATTCGGGGGCGTCGGGGCACTGCCAGAGTTGTTGCAGAGGTGGAATTTTGGCGGCGGAGAGGCGCCCGAGGGTGGGCAGCCGTCGCCGCCCGCGATCTGTGGGGTCAGGTGCGGTGCGGTCTATTCGCGGTTGTTGCATTGCAGCGCGCGTCTCGTTGCAACGGTCTGTCAGTAGGAACTACCGCACGCGGCCACATTTCAAGCCGGATCGGATGGTGGGGACGCATACGATTGGACGGCTCCAGAGGCGGCTTAAAATTGGTACAAATTAGTCGGCTGATTTGTAGCAGCCGCCTTTATTACAATGGCTAATTACACGGCATAATTTTTTGATGGTTAATTACACGGCATATTTTTTAGAGTTAATTACAAGCCTTTGTGCTTGCAATGACAATGCGGTCAAGCAGCGTGGCGTGAAAATATCAAAATAGTCCAACCTGTAACAGAAGTCTCTCTGCAAAAAAAGGTCTCAGCGCGCGACAAGATTTACGGAGACCTAGAGTTCCAATTTAATACTCCCTCCATTCGGAAATACTTGTCTTAGAAATGAAAAAAATGAATGTATTTATAACTAAAACAAGTCTAAATACAACCATTTCTAGGGCAAGTGTTTCTTTTTTTTTAGGAAAGTCATCCTGGCGGTTTTTATTGATCTGAAATAAGAGTTACATCATCTGGTAGAACAGCACGAATAAAATCTGGGGGTTCCTGCCACATTTGGTTCCTCATACTAAATTGAGCTAAATTATGGGCTGCCCTATTAGCCTCCAAGTATTTTCGAATGGAGAGAATACTAGGATGAGATTGTGGCAGGTGGAATCCGACCCAATTTCTGATAGATAGAAATAGCTTTCACCCTTCACCAAATCTCAGATGGATCAAAGGGCAGCAAACCGAAGAGCCTGTCAGCGCGTGGGCATGGCTCCGTCGCCTAAGCGGCGACGCCGTGATCTCGGTTCAGCCGTCGCTGCGACCAGAAGATCCATAACTCCTACAACTGCTGTCTCGCCATCAGCGGACGCCATCTTCAAGATCCTCTCCTGGCTGCGATTGCGGCAAGAGTTCTAATTTAATACGACGCGATTGTGGCAAGTGCAATCCGACCGAATCTAGAAGTTGGCAGTATCGGGAGTACTACACATAGAAGAGCCTTCAGCAAATCTCAGATCGATCAAGGGCAGGAAATAGAGAAGGTCTCTAGGCAGCCGGCTTGGTTCCTGGTCGAGCCTGTCAGCCCGTCACCATGGCGTCGTTATCACCTATAAGCGGCGACGCCGTGACCTCGATTCAGCCGCCACGGAGGCCAGAACTCCCACCATTGCCATCTCGCCATCAACGGACGTCATCTTCGAGATCCTGTCCTGGCTGCCGCCCAAGTCCTTAGGCCCGTGCCGGTGCGTGTCCAAGAACTGGCGCGACATCATCTCCAACGAAGCCTTTGTTGCCACACACAGGTCCCGCGCAGAGCCGCTTCTCGTCGCCATGACCGACGACTCCGTGCACCCTAGGTGCCTTCAGCTGATGGACACGGAGGGCAGTGTCGTGGGGGTGGTGACTGGTGAGCTTAATAGCTGGGGCGTCGACGTTCCACTTCCACGGGGGTGTCGACGGACTTGCCTGCATCACCTTCGGCGACAGCAGCATTGTCAACCACACCCAGGTCGTAGACCTAGCCAACAGGGCGACGCTCCCGAATCTACCGAAACTACCGGTTGCGCAAGTGCAGTACACGTCGTGCATATACGCCACTAGATGCTTCGGCTTCGGACGCACCGCTAAATCCGGC